CGCATCACTATCACTATCATCATTACAATTTCTGCTATTGCCTCTCGTTTAGGTAATCCCTTTTTTCGTTTTTTCCATTTTTAATACTCTGATTGTAGCGTAGAATCAAATATTTTTATTAAGATGATTTAAAATATATATAAAAAAATAAATGCTAAGAAAAGTAGAAAGATTCAAATGTGGTTGGGAACTGATCCCTGTAGTATTAATTGGTTTCATCAATTTGAGGTGGTTGTGTTGAATGATTCAAAATCACAAGGAGGAATCACTACCAATTTATCATTAACATAATATTCCTTTGATGGGTCTAAGGAGAGATTGAGGTAGGCTAAAGAAGTATTGGAGAGAGGTGATTAGATAGGGCATAACTCACCTACAACTTAATGAGGACATGATCCTAAATAGGAGGATATGGAGGTCGAGGATTAAGGTAAAATGTCAGCAGGTAGTCGAGTGTTATCTACTTTTTCTTATATGTATGAATATTATTATTATTATTACTTTTCTATTATCTTATTCCTTTGAATCTTTTATTATCCATTGTTTCTTTTGCATTGATTTTCGTATTATTTGTTGTTGCTACGGTTTCTTTGTCCATTATTTTCAACCTTGCTTCTTTGCTTGTGAATTGCTTATTCAAACTTGTTTTGATATGCTTTACTTGAGACCGAGGGTCTATCCGAAACAACTTCTCTACTTGCACACAGTAGGGATAAAGTCTGCGTATACATCACCCTCCCTAGACTCCACATGTGGAATTTCACTGGGTATGTTGTTGTTGTTGTGCGAGAGGAAACTAAGTTATGCTTCTTTACTTTGTAGGTTTGGTGACTTGGTTGAAGCAAAAATTGATCAAGAGAGGAAAGTTCAGATATGGTGAGTTGCATTGAAATGAGAATAATGTGTTGATTATATAAATAGATGCTAATACTTTCATTTTTCGTATTTTCAGTCAGCGCTCTTTAATTTCCATTCCTTCTTGACGGTAGTGCTGTTATGGATTTGTACATGCAGTTATGTAAAGATGCATTTTCCGGCACTTCTTGAACAAAGAACTGGGTAAGTCTAGCTAATACAATTTCTATTATTCATATACTGCGTGCGATAGCCTGAATTGTCATTGTTGGCATTCAATTGCCTGAACTGGCAACCCGGTGCTGCATATAGACAGCAACAATCACTTTAGCCACTTTCTCTGTTCCCTCCTCTGTAAAGGATGGAAGGAATTTGCCATGAACTGATGAGGAAGTGAAAATGTTTGTATTAGTGGATCTTATTTTTACATCCTAATTAGAAGTACTACTTATGGTAGGTTTCGAGGATTCTTCTGGAAGGCTGCTAGAATAGGTAAAGAAAGTTAATCCCATTAAAAATGCAAGCTGTGGATTTAATGCTGAACTGCTGCTGAGATGAGTACCTGTTACACATTATATGAGTGGATATTATTGCATAGCGCGGTTAAGCATTGTTTATGTGTATGCATAATTTCGACTAGGAAGTTAATACTTTAGGGTGATCGCTTGTCCCTTTGCTCAGGTTCAGCTTTAACAAACTTTTGAGAAGCGTCGTTTTCTGCTCCTACTGTATGCTAGGAACATCTCTGAATAGTCCATTTTTCAAAATTCAAAAGGCACATGGAAGTGATGTAGCTAGAGAAAATGAACTTATGAATTGCAAATAACTCTGCTGTCTATCATAGGATGTGTAAATGTGGAAATAACGAGAAAAGAAAGTTGTCAGCGTAGAGAGCAAACATTAGAAAACAGGGAAATCATTTCTCTGTTGTAGGATAGTGAATATAATCTTCTGCCCAAGGTGTTGCTAATTGGTGTACTTCAACGTGGTCCTTGGATGGCTGTGGGCTGCTTGACAATGGGTGTTTCAATAATCTTCTTCTAAACTCAAACAGTTGCTTATAACAAAAAAGAGCTAATTTTTCTGCATCAAAATGCCTTCTTTGATCAAACTTGAGCACTGAATCATTGTGACACTACTTTGATTTGGAACTAAGCTTTTGCTTGTAAGATTGTCTTTGTTATGAGGAGGGTCGATGTTATCGATTCTGGCTTTTGTAACACACTCCACAGTCTCCACTTGATACCTTTTTGTTTATGATCATGGTGTTTGAGTCAGTTTTTGCGCACCTCGAGTCCTCAACTAATTCCATGAATGCCTGCCACCTCCCACTAGTAACTTGATGCCTATTTCTGCCAACAAATCTAAAAAATTTGATGCTGCATTATATCTTTTTGTTGATTATGTTATGTACATCATCTATCAGTTATAAGAAAATTGACGTAGCTGGTACTAGAGCTTGCTTGTGATCCCAAAAAGAAAAAAAGATTTAACTTTTTGTAACAAGCAAAAAGTAGGCGTTTGGCCTTCTAATTTGGGGCTCAGTATTGAAATTTTGATTTGAGATCACAATTTCAAATCTCAAAATTTCTTAAAAGTGTGATTTCAATTTCAAGTTTGTGTGATTTTGTTATTTACTTTTTTTTTAAAAAATAATATTAAACCTGATCCATAGGTTTATATTTTGAAAAATAAAATAATTTAATAATTTTAAATTTTACAAAAAAATAATCAATGTTTAACATGAAAAAATTGTTTGTACTATGTGAAAAAATTATATTAAAGAATAACGAGTTATTACTATTCTTAATTTATTGAACTAGTAATTTTTTAAATTACATAAAAATATGAGAAGAAAAAATGGTGGAGAAAATTAAAAAATGAAGAATAAAACCTTCGTCTACAAAATAAAAATCTAGATAGTAATCCGACTAAACTATTAATATCCCTCATTTGGCACATGTATATAAGCATGATAGATCAATTTTTCACTTTATCAAATTGAATTATTACATCAATTTTTATATTAATAAACCGTACCAAATTAATAAAAATAGGTTTTTCAATCTTCTTTATTTTTTTTATACAATTATTATTTATTTAATATAACTCATGGTAAACAGTTATATAAAAAACTATCAACCATAATGCCACAAATAGGGAAAATATTTTTATTTTTTTTCTCGCATTCTCAAATATATATTTTTTTAAATAATCAACGTGATAATTATCAAATGGAGAACATATATAAATATATAAGAAAAATTGGATAAATAATATTCACCATTGAAAAAACTGATTAAAAAATTACACAAAGAATTAGAAAAATAAAAAGGTGAAACGAAAGAAATGGCAAAAGGAGGGATGAGAAGTAAAGGTAGGAGAAAAATACATGGGTCCAATCACTCCACCATTGTTAATTATCAAATATAAAAAAGATAAATATATCGAATGATATAAAAAAATTGAATAAATAAAATTAATAAGTAAAAATTGATCTGAAATATTTTAGGAAAGAAGAATTAAAGAAGAACTTTTTTTAAAAAGGGGAAAAGAAAAGAAATGGACAAGTAAACGGATGTGGAGTAAAATGTATGGGAAAGAGAAATAACAATGTAAAATAAAAGAATAGGACCTACATAATTTTTTATTTATAAAATTAAGACAGACAGGAGAGAGAAACAACAATATTGAATAAAAAATGTGGGACCTACACATTTTTTTATTCAAAAATAATCTCTCACATACCAAAATCATAGTTGTGTCTCTCCAACCATAAAATTTCTCATTGCATTGATTGTTTTCCTCTACTGACCAAATTGTAAGGAAACTGTCATTAACTTCATTATTGTCCTTGTTTCTAACTTTTCCATTTGTGTTCTTTTTTGTCTTATTGTTTTTAATTTTGCTTCTTTTTTCTGGTAATTTGGGTCTTGTAATAGAAAGTTAATGCCTCTAATATGACAAAAACAACTGGACAAATTATCCATAAGCAAAGAGTTTTCCAACTTCATTCTTTTTACTTTACCAAATTGGTGAAACTTATGCTTCACATCTGGTTAATTTGTCTCAAACATGCAAGTGAGTAGTTGCTCTCATTTTTTCCAAGAGAAGATAGTTTAGTATCTTCATTATAGACATTTTAGTTGAACTCAAGTAACTTTTGAACAAATCAATAATTCGCACGTTTGAAAATTTCACATAATTACTCTTTGAATATCCAAAATGCAACCCAATTCATACTAAACTCGTAGGCCCTACACATTGAATGCAAATGAGTTAGTTAGGCAAGTAGGTGAACTTCCACTTCCCACAACTAACCCCTATATTCATTTATTTTTTTATTATCTCCAAATATTTGTATTTCTTTCAACAATCTATTTACTACATTTCAAAAATATTACTCCCTCAGTTCCATTTTATGTGATGTACTTTGATTCGGCACGGAGTTTAAGAAAGAAAGGAAGACTTTTAAAACTTGTGGTCCAAAATGAATGATAGAAATTTGTGTGGCTGTAAATCATTTCATTAAAGGTAAAATAGACATTTTATAGTCAAATTGTTAGTTAATATAAAAATATGTAATTCTTTTTTGGACTGACTAAAAAGGAAAGTAAGTCAGATAAATTGAGACAGAGGGAGTAAATACGATCTTGAGCTCATGTTGAAAAGCTATCAATGAACGTGTCCTCTACACATCCTCAATTTCTCAAGTTAGGTGGGATGAGCTACAACACGTAAACGCAATATATATATAAATATTTCTTAAAACATTACTATAAGAAATGCACTTACGTTCTTTAAAAATTAAATTATGATTCTACCTTCCACTAGCAACTTTTTTGGTATAACCATTTGTTAAGGGTTAAAACATTCGAGAAAAGAAAGTTAAGGGATTTTCGGATAAATTATTAAACATATTAAGTAAATTACTACTTATTTAACACAAAAAATACAAAACTAGGCCAAAACTACTGATTCTACTAAACTCATAAGCTGAATATTAGCTGGCTAATTTCGATTCACATGATCCACTAAAAAAAAGATAAAGTATTCCTAAAAGTTCATTTTATCATTTTGAAAGAAAAAAATCTCACCGAGCAAAACTACAAGTATATAGATACTTCCACTCAACTACATCTATGGTGGTCCCATTTGATTTTTGTCTTAATTTCTCTAACTTCCTCATATGCCTTTTCTAATTTCATCTTCCAAGTTAATTGGCCATAAATTGAAGTAGAAAAAGCATTATATTAAATTTAAAAGTAAAGTTAGGTTCTTCCTTTTGTATTTTTCTGTGCTCTGCTAGTTTTAGAAAGTAAAGTAATGGAGGGAAAAATTGAGGCAGCAGAAAATGAGCTACACAATAATAATGGGCTAATAAAATTGCAGCAACAAGGAAAAGAGATCCAATCAATACATTGCGATGACGCCACAATCAATGAAGAAGAGATGAACAAGATTTCTCTTGTGAGAGCTGTAGTTGAGAAACAAGATCCGTCTTCTAAGGTAATTGTATTTTAATTTTAATGCTGTGTTTGTTGATTTTTTCGATGTTAAAAGTGAAAAATTGAAATTTGTTTATAGACATCTCCACTAATTTTAAGTGTATTGAGTTAAGCCCAATATTCGTTCTCCTAAAGTACGTTGAGACCCAACATTATGTAGTGCTCGACATGTTGGAGCTAGGTGTGACTTTTAGATGAGATGGTCACACACTTCATCGTAATGTCAGAGCAGGCAAAGGTCATGGTCATAGACTTTTTTCGTAGTATCAGAGCAGACAGAGGTCCTGGATCGAATCTCACCCCGCCCACCCATATTAAAAAGAATTTCCACATGCTTGGTCATGAGTGTCCTACATTGAATAAGGGAATGGACAATTGCCTCTTCATATGGTTTTGTGTCATCCTATATGTTTGGGGTTTGAGTTAGGTTCAAGGTTCATTTTTTTATCTGGTTTATACATCAATTGTTTTGTAGGAAGTTGATGATTTTGCGATAAGAAGGTTTCTTCGAGCAAGGGATCTGGATGTGGAAAAAGCTTCAACAATGTTGTTGAAATACCTAAAATGGAAGAAAAGTTTTGTGCCAAATGGGTACATTTCACCTACTGAGATTCCAAATGAGATAGCACACAACAAAATGTTCTTACAAGGTGTGGACAAATTAGGACGCCCCATTGCTGTCGTTTTTGGTGGCAGACATATGCCGAATAAACAAGGAGGTCTTGAAGAGTTCAAACGTATGTGTTTTTTTTGTTGATACTATTCTACTTGGCCTGCTGTTTTTTGGTCCCTGAAATGACTTTTGAACAGATCAGGTTGTCTTATTGTTAAGTCATTGTTTTGATCTACAGGATTTGTTGTCTTGGCTTTAGACAAACTCTGTTCAAGGTACACTACTAAAAACATATGTCCATTTTTACTTGTTCAGTTTAGAGATCTGGAGAGAATTTATGACGTAGTTCTTAACTTACCCTCCTTATTAACTTAAGTCATTTCCCAGAGCACTGAATTTATTATATTTCAAATGGTGTTATATAGTAAAATTGTCGTTTTGTTTATTGCTCCTTGCCAAGTGAATATTGGACAAGTAAAAATGGACGGAGGGAGTAATTGGCATGTTTGGCCTCTATTTTTGAAATTAATGTGTAATTGCTTGTCTTGATGAATCAGAACTTCACCAGGAAGGGAAAAGTTTGTGGTAATTGGGGATCTACAAGGCTTTGGCTATTCCAACAGTGATGTTCGTGCATATCTTGGCGCTCTATCCATTTTACAGGTCTACTTACCCATTTTTCATTTGATTTTTACCTTTTATACATACGATTGCACAATTTTAGTTCACAGGTTCAAATCCTAGATGTGACCGTCTTAGTAATTTTTTGAAATAAATTTCTGGTTCGACCACTGAGCTTACCGAGTAAAACAGGTTAAGACTTGAGATACACCAGTACTCAGATGGTGTAAAAACTCTTGACACTACCGGTATATGTTAAGTGAAATCCTTTTCATATTTCCTTTTGGAACTGTAATACGTAAAGGCTCACCATATTATATAGTTCATAATCTTGAAATTTATTATTAATCGCAGGACTGCTACCCTGAAAGACTCGGAAAACTGATTGTAGTTCATGTTCCTTACATATTCTGGACAATGTGGAAGCTTGTGTACCCTTTTATTGATAACAACACCAAGAAGAAGGTGAGGCTCTAAAATGGTTGATGGAAACAATGCCAGAGATTAGTCAACGATAGCCTTGTTATTTCAACATTGTATTAAAATCATCTTTTCTCTCAGATTACATTTGTGGAAAACAAACGACTCACGGAAACTCTACTTCAAGACATTGATGAAAGCCAGCTACCAGATATTTATGGAGGCAAAATGCCATTAGTTCCTATTCATGAAGCCTAAGCAAGTAGTTACACATCATTATTATTCAGAGCTGGTTTACGAGGTCTTTCAGGCAATGCACTCGATAAGAAGACAACGTTTGTACTATGATTTTACATTCGTAAACATCTAGCTTTTATATAGAAAAGAATTTAAATATTCAAATCAGGCTTATAGCTCTGTTATTTACTCTAACTGGCACAGCACATAAGAGTCAAATACTCCTAAATTTAAGATCCATTGTAGAAGGAGAAACTGACTGCACTCAGCACATAATTCGTTTCTGGATCATATAAACAGCATTGGTAGCCTAGGAGCCTTTCTTATAGCAATTGAGTTGCCCTCTTGGTGGATTCAATTTGGTTTTCTCGTTTTTGATTGAGTTTGGGTTATTGTTATTTGATCGAATTCAATTGAGAGGTGAAGTTATAAAGTCCTTGTTGCTAATAAATTCAATTAGTTTTCGATATTTCCACGTATGTTTTCTTATTTCTTTTCAATTGCCCTTTTGATTCTTATCACCGTTCTTATAACAATCGCTTCTATAGTATGATCGATGTTGGTTAATGGGTCTTTGTTTTCAATCTATTGAAGATAAAAACTTGCTTCGAAAAGTTATTTTTTAATGACCAAGTGTGTTCGGGTCAACTTTCGCACACCGTGACTAAATCCATGGGATACCTAAAAGCTATAATTTATGTACTCCCGTAACTAATTCGCTATAATTTATGTACTCCCGTAACTAATTCGAAGTGAAATTATTACCTCCTTAAATGATGACAGACATATATGGAAGGAAACAACACTTGGTAAAATTACAATCCAATGTCTTTGGGTCATTTAATTACAAAATATGTATAGTATATACCTTATATACTAAATATGCATATATTATATAAATGTAATATACACAACATATACCATCGAAGTGTATAAGAGTATATGACGGTACTCGGTAGTGAGCATTTAGGTAAGTTTCCCAAAATACTTTCCTAGTTTTGCTTAATTTAGACAATTGATTAAACAACATTCAAATTAATTAGAACATTAACCAATATATACAAGTGACTTTTGCAAACTGTCTTTTCACTGACCTGACATTTGCAATTAAATCAAGACTCTGAGATTTAGGACAAACCATCATTAACACTTTGAAACGTTTTTCAGCCTCTAACAACTATTCTTTTTTCAATTTCTTTGTTTTTATTTTTTGTGTTGGTGGGGTGGTCGAGGAACACCAAAAATAAAGTAAATAATCAAAACTCTGAGATCAAGTTCTTTTTTATTTTCAAATATAACAAAATAACATCCATAATATAGTTATTAAAGACTTTTATTTAGTAGGAGATATATTTTCTTTCGATAGTTTTTTTATGTCATGTGTAGACCAATTAACCAAATATGTTATTTAGTATAATATTATGAGTCGTCTAATTTATCATTGTCATAATTTGCAATTAATATTAGTTTTTTTTTTGTATGACGCCCGATTTTGATACCAAAAGTTCGTTCCAAAAAAGCATCTTTCAGAATAGCTAAAATAGTCTAAATTTTAGAAATAATATACTTCTTGATGAAGAAAAATTAAAGTGAAACAATTAACTAGATGAAATTTTTTTAAGTAGTCACTTGTCATAGATTTTAAATATCTTTCACTTATTTTATATATTTTTGAAACTTATAGAGTTAAAGTAGAAGATGTAGTTATATTTGATTATACCTTTTACAAACAATATTTGAAACAACTTCAAACATTAAAAAGTGAGTTGAAACATAGGTTATAATATTATTTCTTTTCAAATTTGAAATACAATTTTAAGTTCTCGTAACTAAATACTTCATCTGTCCAGTTTTAATTGTCATGTTGCGTTTTTCAAAAGTCAATAAATTAGATTACATTAATTCGATATTTTAAATAAAACAATTAGATACTTAAAAAATATACGGAAAGTATTATAATTGCAATTTTTTGCATATTAATATGATGAAAATATATATCATAAAATGTTAAGTCAAAGTTTTTATAATTTGACTCTAAAAAGCAAATCATGACAATTAAAAATGGACCAAGGTAATACTGATTATCAAATTAAATTAATAATTATACTAAAATAAATAAATATTTTTTTTAGTCAAAGGAATTGTGGTTTAATTTTTCTTGTTATTATGAGAAGAGACAAAAGCAAAGAAAGTCCAAAGAAGTTAAAGCTGGATATTCAATTCTGCGAATCTAACGCAATGACTCTCTGCAACTCAGCGACAAAATTTTACTATAAAATCCGTACACTGCTCTGCTCTATAGTACGTGTCATCATTTCATTGGTCCAAATATTTAGTCTTAAAGTTGACCACATCTTTCTTATTCAGTACGAATATTTTATGTATAATACTGTTATAAAATATATTTTATTTTGATAAAAGGATACCATTGATTCATTTCCAAATTTATGTAGTTAGTTACTCCATATAGAATTGTACTTTTGAAAATGTTAAAATATTTCGACTAGTCCTGAAATAGAAATAAGCATAGAAATTCACACCAGGGAAGTTGTTGAGAGATTGATTTAAATTATGAATGGTTCATGTGTATAATAAGATAAATAAATAAAATATGAACACTATACATAAAATATGGTGTTTTACTTATGTATTTTTATTCACTTTTCTTTGTTTGCTTTATTCCTTCTATTATCATTGTTAAATTTTGTACAATGAAATAGCAATTTTATACTTAAAATCAGTAGGCAGTGGAGGATGTAATATATAGACAATGAATTCAACTAATCATTCCAATACTTTTCGAGACAATATATAAATACATGTGTGAAAACTTACTAAAAAAGCGAAATGTTTTAATAATTTTGGAGTAATGAGTTTATGCTTAGAATCTAAAGATTGCACGCGTCAAATATAAATCCTATATTGATTTCTTCGTCAGTCATCATAGTAGACTCAACTTCTTAAAATCCTGAATACGTCTACGAGGATATATATCATAAGAATGAGAGATAAGCTTATAGGATATATCGTGAATACGTAAATCCATATTTTTGTGTTTGGAAAGTACAAAGGGAAACAGCCTTATTAGATTACAAAAAGATTATTAGGCTTAACACCTTAGTTCTGTTGTGTGATACTTTTTTCTGTAAATACGTACTTCCCTGCATATATATAGCATACTTTAAACTTGCCAAGTAATACTAGTCTAATTCTTAACTTTGGTCCCCTTCAACTTCAACTGAATCCTTTATAAATTTTCTTCACGTACAAGTCCCCCACTTGAGCAAAAAGTTCATTTAATTTTTTTAATAAAAAATCTCTAGTAATTTCAGAGGCGGAACCAGTATTAAGAGTTTAGGGTTTCTAAATTTCCTTCCCTTTTCTTAACATTGAGTTGTCAATCAATTTTGTCAGGGGTTCACAGGTTATTACTTAATTTTCTAGTAAGAATATAAGGTCTACGAAAAAGCTACTGGGTTCGTCTGAATCCACAAACCCCACCTAGCTCCACCCATGCTAGTGATACTGAAATAAGCTATGGAGGAATTCCTAACTAAATAGCACCTACCTAAATGAATTTTCTTATAATTAAATATAATTAACATAGAATTTTGCTTTTTTTATTTAATTTCTTATTTTCTAGTAGTACAAAAATTCAACTTATCTTCAATATTTTCGAGGATGATTTTTAGTTAAATTATCTAATAAATTAACCTTGGTGACTGACTTGTCCACTTTGAATTTTAATTTTCACGTTTCTTAAAAAATAATGATTGATATGAACATTTTACTATAATGTTTTATTGATATGCTATAACATAACAAGTAAAAATTAAAAAAATATTTTTGGAACAATGGACAGATAAAATTGAGAATGCTGAGCTTTTAGGTCCAAAACTTTGCGAAGACAAAAACACACTATATGATTCTTTTCATTTATCTTAGCTTTGGTAGACAGAATTATATGGTATCCGATCCATTGTTGTTGTAAGGTAGCAAATATCACATGTAATTAGTCGAGATGCACATAAATTGACTTAAACACTATGATCATAAAAGAAACAATAAACAAATAAAAATGAACAAAAAAGCGAGTAATGAATATATGTGTGGAGAAGCGTAATTAGAAAAAGTTTCTAAAATGGGAAAAATCCCAAATGTGTTGCCCATATAGTCGAAAAAAGGTGTCGAAGTAGAGACTGGGGCTGATTGGTTCGGAATTGGAACTAGTTTTATTTGAACTAAGTCTCTTCCAAAAAAGCAAAATTATTTCAACTGTTGTATCCGTACCTTTTCTCTCTGTATGCAAATGCAGAAAAGCACATTGCTATTCACGTATGACTCTGATCCTATCCCAGAAATTTTGTATATATTTTCAAAGTTAAAAACAAACTTTTATTTTATATATAGTGTAAAGAAAAAATCATCTTTATCTTTGGTGTAAGATGTATTTTCACTTATTTTTCAAATTACAAATTGAGATATCTTTTTTAGTAAGCTGATAGTTTAAGTTTTTCTATATATTGTCCGTTCCGTATATATATAAGGTAAAATCTTAGTAAATTTTAACTTATAAGGGCTTATTTAGTTGGAGATAAGTTAGTTATTTCGTAATGTTATCACAAACAAACATGAAATAAACTCATCTTAAAATTAATTCTGAAATTAGTTATTTCTTATCTTTCGTACCAAAAGAGCACTATCCTCGAAAAATTATCTAATTATCAATCAGTAATACTTATCAAATGATTTATCTATAATGACTTTTAAGTATTCATGTTCACTATCAATATATACAAAAAATGTACTACCATGTTATCTAAATAACACCTACATATACATATTTCCTCTAAACGTTTGGCTTGTAATTTTTCGAATAAAACAAAAATTACTACATTAATCTGAGATGATGAAAAAATAAGTATGTACGTGTACTTATTGAACTGATCTATAATTACCATTTAACTAATGGTGTATAAAGAATCAGGAGAGAACAGAGTACGCAAACAAAGTAATGTAATGCAAATATTTATTTTATAGTCGAAGTAAAACTCTTATAAAAAGCAACAGTTTTTCATCTTTCATTTCATATTTACCCAAGTGTGTGCTTCTAACAAGATGGACCCAGAAGCTTTCTCAGCGAGTTTGTTCAAGTGGGACCCAAGAGGTGCAATGCCACCACCAAGCCGTCTATTAGAACCGGTGGCGCCACCACAACCTCCTCCGCCTCTACCAGCACCACCACCA